CGTTATCGCAAATATCGACACAAAACATCAAAGAACATCAAAGTTCTTATTTTGAACGGTTGTTAATAAATTATCTAGGAATAAATTTCATTTTTATTAAATATGGTATCTGGTTATACATTGTTGATAAGTTATTAAAAATATAAATCATTGTACCGATACATTAAAATGACTTTGATTGATTGAAATTTGGAAAACTATATCTACCAATATCTTAGGAACTTCTTGTGTATTTTTTTATTATACACATATTTTATTGTGTTGTTATATATATTATATCGCATAAAAATAATATTAATTTAATATTGTTTTTATAAAGGCAATATTAAAAACAATTTCGATAGCGCTGTTAATTTTGTAATTCTGGTTTAAAGTGTTTTATCGATAACATCATTGAATACCAACTGAAAACTGTTAAAAGTTTTTTTTAATTTATGGCAGAAACTAGTTTGAATGTATATCAACAACTAAGTGGGTACATAATCGTTAATTAACACTATTTTTATTTGAGTTCTCAATATATAAGGTACTTTTGAACATTTAATTGTCATAAAATAATTTTTTAACTTGTGGGTAATAATAACTTTAAACATGTATTTTATTTTAAAACCTAAATTATTTATTTCGTTAACGTTGGTTTATTATCATACTCAATAAGATCATCATTATTCATTCATATTATACTTTTTCAACATTGTTATAGCTTCATAAGCCTCCACTCAAGTATTACTGAAATTTATGGCGTTCGTTCAAATATTTTATCTGTTTTCCAAAGTTTTCCAAAGGAATATACAAGTATTATATTGAACTATAACAATTTCAAACCAATACCAAGTACAGGTTAGAAACAATTGACTGCCTTTTAATTAATCAGTTAATTCGTAGAGATTTTTTTTTATTCCATGGAGGATCTACCTACGCTTTATAAACATACAAAAGGAATTGCAATTTTATATCAAATGCATTTTTGTGTTTTTATTGCGGTAATTTTTTCAAGCCTTATTATTTTAAAATCAAATTTGTTCTAACATTTGTCCACCGGTTTTGATTTTTTTGTATTCTTTCACCTTTAATGTTCAACCTTTATTCTGGGAAAATATTCTATGAGGCTCTAGATGGAATAGAGAAAGGCATACAACTAAATGGAGTCAGAATCAACAACATTAGGTATGCGGATGACACTAAAATTTTAGCCGATAGTACTACCAGACTGCAAACCTCAATGGATCACATAGCACAACACATTCAATTGTTTGAACTCAATATAAATGTCTATAAAACAAAAGTCATTAGCAAGAACATTATAACTGGAGTTCCCCTTTATGGTTTCAATAAAACCAGAATAAAAAGGGTGAAATAATATTGCTACTAAGGTGCCCAATAGGTAAAGCTAGAACAAAATTAAATGAGTGCTTTTTTCGAAAGTTTTAACTTATATCTTAAAACAAAAATGAGAAACATAAGATGATATGTGTTCTCTGTGCTGCTATATGATGTGGAATCCTGGACACTGAACGATGTCATTACAAAAAAGATAAAAGTATTTGAGTTATGGCTGTATAGAAGAATACTGAGGATACCATGGACGACCTGGATTAAAAACGTTGAATTTCTTAGGATAATGAACAAGGATACTGAGCTAGTAAACATTATAAAGATAAGAAAGCTTCAATATTTAGGACACATAATGTGGAATGAGAATAGGTATTTAATACTTCAATCCATTTTGCGAGGAAAAATATTTGGAAAAAGAGGACCTGGAAGGAGAAGAAAATTATAATTTCTTAATCTAAGGGAATGGTTTGGAAAAAACTCATCAGAGTTGTTTCGCGATGCAATCAACGAAGAGTGCATTGCTGGAATGGTCGCCAACATTCGAAATTGGATAGGCACCTGAAGGAGAAGAAGAATTAATACTATTATTTTACATTTATGTTAAACTAATGGTCGATAAAATCTTCTCAAATAGAATACTTAGAATGAAAATATTCATAATTATTTCAACGATTTAATTTATATGATAAATGTAATGGAAACTGTAATAAATTATAATTGATAAAGTACACAAACTATTGCTTAAGATTATTTAAATGTCTACAATTTATCTTCAAGTTCTCAATATAAAAAAACATGTCAATTACATAAGTTATTACGGTACTCTCATTTTTACTATTTATTAAATTATAATTAGTATTTCTCGGTGTATTATTTTGGTATTATGCTATGTACAAGTGAATTCCATATTTAGTGGACATATATATAGTAAGTAAAATATAATTTATGTTTTGGTTAGTTCGGGTAATTCAAAATTTAAATATAAAAATTTAAATTAATAACGTTCATGAACCCAAAAATATTATTGTTCATACAATATTACCTATACATTTAAAAACAATTTCGTGATAATGCAAATTATAAATTCTTGAAATATTGACTGTGCAATGTTATGGATTTTTATCGACATCAAACAAAAGCATTTAAATAAATAAATAAATAATAGTGTTTTTGACCATCATGTTTAATAAAAAACAAATTAATATAATTTATTATAATACATTAATAATACTGTTATATTTTTTATTTTTGAGTATCAAATAGTTTAAGGATCAGTTATGGACTTGATAAAATATTTTTCTACATAGTATTATTATGATGAAGAGCTTATATCATCAATAGTGATACTATAGTAATAATGAGAAACAGTAATTTCGAATATCTTATCTATATCGGTACAAGTTTAGAATTCAATTTACTTTATCCTCATCATGGGAATTATATATGTGTGAGAAAACAAAATTTATATAAAAATATAATATTATATTTATGTTTTAATTTAAACTCTCTCAAATCGCATGTCAGAGTTGATTAAATACACCCAAACTTTATATAATACTTTATTTTTTAACAAATCCCTTAAATATTTAAAAAAAAAACAAAGACCTCTGAATAATTAAAATATTTTTATATATATTGTACATTTAATGTAATTATTTCGAATTTGTTAGTATATTGTAATACCGTTAGACAGCAGCGTTTGATTTTAGAACCCAGGGATAAATAAAACTAAATGTATTCTATTTATGAAACTTTTTGCTATCTGCATCGGATATTTTATTTTCGGTTCAGAATATTTTTACTCTGTATAAATTAATCAGTTACTCCGTATGAATTAGTGAGTTTGACTGACAATAGACGTCACTTATAATAATTAATTGCCCGTGCGCAAAGAATGGTTTAGGGGATTATATCCCACAGACTATTATCGCTATGGTCTCGCCCTGACTCTTGTTAATGACCGCGGCGAAATCAACTGTCAACTAAAATGGCGCTTGTTGTAAATTTGAATAGAGTTTTCTAAGGCAGCTAATTTCATTACAGAACTAAAGTCTGCCTCGGTCCCTACGTGATTTCATAGCAGTTAGCAGTTTTGCAGCCAGCGGCGTTGTTATACGTAATATGTTTCACAGATATTCTGGTACCATACGCCTGATAACTATGTTCCTAGTGCCTATGTTCAACGCAATTGCGTTTTCTTCGAGAGATCCATTTCTTTCTGAACTATTCCAAATCAGTAAAGGTGTCCAACAGTCACGCGTTACGTAACACTGATATGATGTTGATTATAACCTGAAAGTCCTGCAGTCTTCAGCGATCAATTTGTTTCGTTGGTTTTTGTAACACCAAATATCGATTTAAATAACGTATACCTCTGAGCAACCCTTATGACCTTATGATAGATTAATTATAGACGTATAGTATAGTTATAGACGTATTGTAGAATTATTACTAGCTTACAATTCTACAAGTGGCAAAATGACAAAATACGTATTACACATTTCAATGGTAAGTACTACGTTCGATATCATAATTAACGCTGTTCTTTCTAAGCTTGATATCACAATAATGGACCAAAAATTTAAAAAAAAATGAAATTTTAAATCGAGATTAAAACTCTCTTCTCTAATAATCACATATTATTTTATCACATGCGACTTTTTTTGTGTTTGTGTACATGACTTCGATTAAAAAGATTGCACCAATCATCACAATCATTAAAGATTTCTATTAGAAAATTGTATCTAGTTAATACTTTATAAGTAGTTATTTCACGAATTTTCCAAAAGATATAAAAAAAAAACCCGGTCAAATGTATGGTATACCTGTTTTCGACAAAATCAAATATTTGTTTTTATCATAACTTAAATAACAATCGTAGTGACTCAATTTTTTTCTTGAAAAATTTCGATCAATGTCGATTCATTTTGAAATACTTCAATGACATTTTCGATTTTTCCAAATTGTATATACCTTTATTTGCGAAAATCATAATATTAAAAGCTTAACATATTTAAATTTCTTTCTACTGCTATGTACGCGCTGAGGTATTTTAATACAATTACAGTTTTATCATATAAATTATATAACATATATAAGAAAAAAGTAGAAAAAAAATATTATGTATAAAAATGACAGTATACATATGTATAAAATAATGAAAGTAATAGTTATATTACAGTTATATATGTCTAAACCCGGAAACCACTTCCTTCTAAAAAATATAACACTAATTATTTATACTAAATTTACAACCAATTTTTTTGAGATTTAAATGATACAAGTTTTTCAAAGTTATTATCACACATTTGAATCTTATTGATACCTAACCTTTCCTTATACTTAATATACATTTATGAAGAGCACTAATTAAGAAAAATGGACATTGGGTTATTTTAATATAAATATGAAATATTTTAATAGAAACATTAACATAGATAATATTCATTTTTAATCATATTAAAAAATATATTATAATAATAACCATTACAAATTATTGTTTAAAATACTACCTATTAAAGATGTTGATGAAAAATTGCTAAATATATTTTAAATAAAATTATTCAAATAATTTTTAGAAATGTTCTTGTATTTAATTGAAAATATTTAAATTTATTTAAACATAATATATATTTTGATAAAATTTAATTTTTAAATGTATTATTTACGTTTAATTATTGATGATATTTTGACCATCTAAAAATAATTGATTAAATAATATATGCATATTGTTATAGTGATTAGTTTGAGTTAATTACTCAAAATATTCATACCATCATGTATAATTTTTTCAGATGATGGCCTTACAGTGATTTCAGAAACCTGTGAACAATTTAAAATTATTATATTTATAAACATGTATGAGAAATATTAATTAGACATTTAATAAATAACTGTATATTTATTCTAAACGGATTAGAAGTACAATTATTCATAATACATATGTACTCAAGAGATAGTAAAAATTAATCTTTTTCTAAAATTCGATGTGTAAACTATGGCAAGAAAAAATTGAACATTATATAATCTGCCACTACATATATATATAAAATCATAGGTATATAAAATAAATTGTTGCAGTTTGTATAATGTATCCTATCGGTTTTATAGGAAATTGTATATTTTTACATTTTTTCTTGCCGCAGTTTACACATCGACTTTTAGAAAAAGGTCAATTTTTCCGCAGTGTACATTCCAGACACTTTACATTAATGCCATACATAAAGTATATATACAAATTACTACAATCAACAGTATAATCTAAAAAAAAAAAAATTGAAATACAATGTTAATCATATTATTCGTAGTAATGTACATTTTTTAAATACATATACTAACGAAAATAGCATTTTATTTATAAAATAAATTTATGAAACTCTATAAATTAAATTTGAGCAACTAAATATTAAATTAGCATTTGTAGTAATTTTCCATTTTTTTTTTTTTTTTTTACTAATTTTCCTCAATTCGTTATCTAATACTTATATTATATATAATATATACTTAATGCTGTAAGTATGGAAAAATTAGAAGTGTCATATGTATTTTATTGTCACGAAAATTGCTACTAGAACATGAAATACCCAAATACTTTTAAAATATTCCTCTGGTCACATGCTTATCTAACCAATAGGAATCCGAAATCAATTAAATTTTAATTGATACAATTTTTATAATTTGTTTTTAACTTACATTAACACGTTGTGGTGCGCTCAATACAAACAAAATAGCATCAGCTATATCAATAGGTAACAGTGCTTCATTTTCACCCGAATTTTGTGGTATAAATTGTTCTGCCATTTCGGTCATAACGAGCCCAGGACTAATACTCTATAAAGAAAGCCAAGTATAATTTTAATTCAAAATATACAAAATATTCAAAATTTAAATAACAAAATAAAAATTAATAACGATTTTAAATTGAAATAAACCTCAAACTGTAAAATGTGAGATGAGACTAAAGTTTTTAGGGATTAATAACTATAAATAAGATTTTATTTAAAATTTAGATACAATGACTTTTACTATGATATATTTCCATATTCATAGAGGATGCTATAGTTAAACCGAACTTGTAATTTAGTAAAATTATTACGGTTCATACTAAAATTATTGTGATCACATGATCATTAATTTCCAAATTATTCAAATTATAGCATTCATGCATTAATAGAAAATTATTAAAAAATTATTAAAAATTGGTTGTTTTTAAACGACCAATTTTTCTCAATGTACTCGTATTTCTTCCTTTAGTTTTTTTATATTCAGTCGGGATTTTACTGTCTTTGTTAATACCTAATGTGGAATTTTATTTTGAAACCGGTCGTACTTTACAAATTAAATAATACTACAGACTAAGCATTTATTTAATTATTGTTTACTTATTTCTATATTTATTTTTTGTCAAAAGCTTTTATTAATTTTATTATTTTTTTAAATTTTTTATTTTATTAAAAATAAATTTTTACTGTCCAAAATCTCATAAGTATTTAAACCTTCTTGATCATTCTGCAGAGTACTTGGTGCCTGTTAATACATTGGTACGATGTTAATCATGTATAAAGACCTAGTATAATACATAATTTTATTATAATATGCATACGAGACATAGGTAAATGATTGATTTTAAAGTTGAAAAATCATCCAAAAAAAATTATTAGAACAAATGAACTAAAAAAATTTGAAATATTATATTGTATAAACAAGAGTTTTGGTACATCCAATTTTTGGAATTTTTGCAGTTTTTTTTTAATAATTTGTTGATAATTCAAATTAAAATGGTTTAGATTATAAATCAATACATATTTAGTTTTAAAATCAATTACCGTGACTCTGATAGGTAAATTTTGCGAACACATTAACATTCTCAAATACTCTGTAATGGCAGTGACACTAAACTTGGTGCTAGAGTAGAATGATGCATCTTTAATTGGAATTATAAAATGACCTGCAATACTATAAACAATAAAAATAATAACTATAGAGAAATAATTTAATCCATATAAAGTGTTTTGTATTTATAGACTATAACATGAAATACGAATATGCATTACCTATGTAATTCAATAATGGGTATTAACAATTAGTACGAATTATTCATAAAAAATAATCAGAACGTGTTCCATATACTCGTACTACGAACCATTATTCTGTCTTATTCAAATTACCTTCTTCACTTCTTAACACACAATATATATTCATAATATTTAATTATATTTCTTTTTCAGATTCACCATATCAGTCGTATGTGGTATGTCTTTTGATTGTATTAAGTTTATAGTGTTTTGGTTGATAAAATATTGATATATAAACATATTTCTCACCAGCTTCCTATAAGTATACTGTTGATACCGACCTTCTTAATTTTAAGAGGTTCAATAACAAAATATAGATAGAAACATAGATGGCAACTCCCATATCTTGATAGAAGTTTCATTGACTTATTAAATTACCTACGTATGTGATCATTTTTGCATGTTTATATTTGTAAATCGATTAGAGTCAAATTAATTTTCAATCATTTTATTTAAAAATATGTAGTGAAGTATTTTTAGTTTAAAATAAATATTGAAAACAAATGTTTTAAAATACGCTTTATTTAGACACATATAATTTGTGTTCGATTCTTTATAAACTAAAAAATATACCGGTTTTAGGCCAAGGCTTAATCATTAATTTATCCTTTCACTTGATTCTTCTACCCTTTACATTCTCTACACGTACGAAGCCATATGCGACTTAAATCATATTATGTTCTCGTTTCATTCTCTTATTATGCTTTCTCTTCTCCGCAACTCGTTAATTCACTAACTCTCCTCTCTTGGTTACTTTTCTCTGATGTATTATTCTTCTCAATTCTCGTTCCCCATCCGTCTTCTCGCGCATCATCAATTTTATCCTCTTAATTTAAATAATTTTAATTTATTGTAAAATATCACGCTTTGTTGTGTAACAAAATAAATCATTAAATACTGTGCTTCAAAAATTTAAAAACTTAACTATCAATGCATAATGTCCTCAGGACAAAAGTAATATAAATAAATAAATAAATAAAATAAAATGGGCCAAGCTTTTTTTCGTAGGTAATAACTTTTAACGTGAAGTAATACGCTTAAAAAAACGAAAACACGAAATATCTCTTAAAAAATTGTAATTTGTAAAAAAATTGTACAGCAGTAACTTGTGCATACAAATAAGTAGTTAATTATAAAACATATTTTTTTTATCACATTCTGGGAATAATGAATTATTAAAATCTTTACTTAAAATTAATACCTACTGTCTAATATTTTATATATTAAACATATAAATTATAATAACAAAAAATGTATTTCTTTTTTTTTTGCACACAACTCTAAGTAACACACAACATATTAAAATAATTTCAAATAAACGGTAATTTAATGAAATATAAAATATACAATTTTATTACAAGTCATATACAAGTTTATTACCTATTGATGTTTATGATATGCCCATTTATTTTCAGTTCTTTCATAATATTAACAGCTTCTCTGCTACAAATATTTAAACCAATAACGTTTGTTTCAAACATTATCTTCCAATCTTCTGTTTTTCCTAAAACAACATTTCATTATGTTATATTGATATTAAAAATATGCAAATACTTGATTGTAAATCATTTAAATCGCTTATAATGAATATAGCAAACGCAATAATTTATCTATTAAAGTAATAACAAACAGGAAAATATTATTGTAGAGGAAGGTTTTATATTCATGTTAAAAAATTATAAATTTTTATATTCGAGTAATATTCGAATAAATATCTAAGTATATGATGAAGTAATTATTGATAAACCTAATTATATTTAGAAGATTGTTAGTCAGTTAACATATATATTTTTTTTTATAGATAAAAACACGTCAAAGTATAAAGAAAGCATAATATATCTTAATGTAAATTTATATCAATAGCCATTTCTATACTAAAATTAATCTATAGTGCATTTTATATCATAAAAAAAAATAATGTAATTTTATGTATTGAATTAAAATTTACCTAATAAATCATTCATTTTAAAAACTCCAGCATTGTTAATTAAAACATCCACGGATTTCAGTGTGCTCTTAACCCACCTAAAAGCTTCCAGAATATTTTCTTCTGAACACAAATTTACTTTTACGTAATAAAAGTTTTCCTTTAACTTTTTTTGTAATTCCTGCAAAACAAAGTCATTAAAAAGTACTAAGAAATGTTTGTGTTTAAAGCTAATTGTATACTTGTTTTCAAATATTTAAACGTTAAATTAAATTAAACACAAAACTCTGAAAATAGAAATATCGTAGAAAATATTTAAGTACAGTGTCTTGGCGCCTATGATAGGAGTAGATAAAAAAATAAATGGTTTTAATAAAATTTCAAACTTACTTGTAGCCTATCTTCTCTTCTAGCAAATCCCACAACGATCATTCCCTTTTCAACCAATTGCTTACAAGTCTCCTCTCCAATACCAGAAGAAGCACCTGTTACTATAGCAACTTTTCCTATCCATTTATCCATTTTAAAATAAATAAATAAGAAACAATCAAGAACTAAAGTGGTTCCAGTATTTTACTGTAGTAATTATAGAGAGTAGTATACGAAAGAAACGTGTCTTCTCGCCCGTGTATAAAAACGACTGTGATATGTTTTATATTTACTCTACTATATAATATACAATAAGAGTAAAATTTAGGTAGGGTTAATCATTCCTATACATTCAACAGTAGACAGTCCCAAATAAGTAAATAACAACATGTTATTCGATTTAATTGCATATGTTTACGTATAATAAAATAATGATGAACACGCGATTTTTACTAGAGGATAAGTGACCCGACTGTTTGCATCGAAAACATCTTTATCATCTTTATCATCTTTACATTAGGAAAATACGGAATACGGTATGCTCAAAGTTTACTGAAATTGAATCTGGTACTTTTTTTGTATTTTCTGGATTAAAATAAATTTGCCTACGATTGCTAAATACGCAAGCGAATTGTTCGGTAGCAAATCCAGCTTTGAAAGGTAAAACGATTGAAGTTAATCTGACTCCTTCCTGTAGTAAAGCTTTTATGATGATGCCGTCTAGAATAGAAGGATATACTTTAGACAATTTAGTTATTTTTGAGGAATTCGTTAATTTTCTCATCGGGATGATATTATTATATATAAATTATTATTAAGTATTACTATTATAATTATTTTATTTTCTACTTCGTCTCGTGAATGATTTTTGTACTAAGGTATTTGCAATACTGTCACTCCTTAGAAAAATATTAAATTTACTATTTAATATTCGAAGTGTTGCGATTATTTTACGTGCAGTTGTGTGAACAGAAATTTATCAAGGGAGGAGGTTGATAAATAAATTTAAAATTATTTACCGCGATAATGTAAATGATATTTTATACATACTACATTTATCTTATTCTCCTTGGAATTTTGGAAAACGCACTAAATATTTCATCTGTTGACGAATATATTTTCATTAACTTCTAGTATAAGCGCACCCAAAAATAAATCTATTAACCGTTCGCAGGAAAAATTTTTCTCCATTACTTGAATTTTTGTATTTTAAAACGATAAATCAGAAGGGGGAAGTTTAAACTCTTAATCCCCCCTGACTACGCCACTGATTTCATGGATTGATGATTTAACTAACAGCTGTAATATATTTAACTTAACGTACTCCATAAAATGTATTTAAATAAAGCAATTGCTTGGTTCATTTTGAATTGCATTGATTCAGCTGTTGTCGGTAAAAAAATTTTTGTGTTAGTAGTGGAGAAATGTTTAGATGATTAATTAGGCTGTTCAATCGAATACTTGTTTATCGACGTATGGTTGGTTACACTATTAATTAATTATTTTTTTGGAAAATGACTTTTGGAGATTTATTTTATTTTATTGGGTAATAGTAAAACGTGATTCAATCCCAGATCCAGATATAATTTTATATTTTATTTTATAGTCAAACATTTTTAAAATCTCGTGCGGAAATATCTCAACATAGAAAGTAATAACTTGAGGAAGACGAACACAAATATGATCATGAAATATTCATAATTATCATTGCAAACACGATTTTTTTTCTCTTCGAACATTTTATATTCACATCTAGCTACAAGTATGTTCAACCAATACATCTAATAAATATCCATAATATTTTACTTTGGAATAAATCTTATAATAGTAAACGCCAGCATTATTTGTCCAGAGAAATTACTTTAACTTATCCTCAAATAGATTGATTGAAACGATAAAGCACATTTTCCTGATGTAAAATGCTATTTATTCAAAATTTTTACTCATATATAATATACTTATCAAAATATTGAATCCACGAAAATTAATTCTGAATTAGAGTATATGATTAACTCTGCATTGAAATCCAACAATATTTTAACAATTACTCATAGAATAACAGATCATTATTAATTGGCCCTCCTCTCCTATACACTTTAAATGTGAACGTTAAAAAGAATTAATATTACAGAATATAATAGTATCACGTTAAGTGATTATTTTATCTCCCAAGTAATAATTTGTCATTATTTTAATAACTTATATATAAAGACAGGATTTATGTATATTTTAGATTTTAAAATTTGCATGCAAAAATGTACTAAAAAAAGTCAAAATATACAAAAAAAAATGTAAAACATGCAAAATAAAATTTAAATTTTTATTAAATTTTATATTTGATTTTAATTTTGCAATGATAATTATTTATTCATTTTATTAAGATTTTCAAAAGCAAAAAGTAAGATGCAAATATGCAATACGGAAATGTAATTTTTTGAATTATAGAAATTATATAAATAACAAATTGAAAAAATATCCAAATAAATGTTTATAAAAACATATAAGATACAAATATTTGATCACCTATTTACAAGGCCGTAACTGGGAGGGACTCTAGGGGTCCGGCCCCCTCCCGAAATTTTCAAAAGTAGAAACATTTTAGCGGTGAATATAGTTTATTAACAATAAATTGTACTAAATAATAATGTTAGACCCCCCGAAATTTTTTTCTAGTTACGGCCTTGCCTATTTATAAATAATAATAGTTAATACTTACCGTAATCGAATACCAGAAAAATAAAAAAGTCGCTTATTTTAAAATTTTGGTTAAAATAATATATCGTCAATAGACACTGTTTACGAATTAACTGCTCCATATTATATTAAAATGAAGAGGAGATAACATACAAACTTATATAATAATAATACATGAAAAATATCAATACAATTTTTTTCAAACGTGTTGTAAAATAGTAATACATGTGTACCCATAAAGGGACGCTCAGCGCTTATGGGTTAATTTGGCTACAACATAATTCTTACCAAGAATTGTATAAATGTAGCAGTGGTTGTAATAATGCACCTATTTGTGTTATTTTGGGTATTTTATCAAAAATAATTGATAAAATAGGTAAAGTCATGTCTCCGCTATAAAATTCTTACAACCAATCTATGAAAGTTTTGTAACCTACACATACCTACATATAATATTTTTTTTTTACTCAACACTTTTTTGGATTGTTAGGTGTATATTTGTATAATTTTTTTGTTAAATATACAAAAATATGCAGAACATGCACTAACGTTAGAATACGCTAAAATATGCAGTATAACATTTTTATATTAATTAATCAAGTAAAGATTTGTGGACACATTAACTGCATGTAAATGTTGAAAATAGCAACATGCATTTTATACAAAATCCGGTCTTTATTTATATAATCTATTTAATAAGAAAAACAAATCAGTGTGCGTTAATTAAGTCGTATTTTATAACTTTTCGTCAGTTTTCACAGTTATTTAAAAAATTGTCAGATTATTCGTAAAATGATCTCGTACAAAATACTAAATAGGCAAAATTTTATATCGGAAAATTTTAACATTGTGATGGTTGGAACAATCTTTCTAGTCAAAACCATTCACGGACTCAAATTTATTACATAATAATAATATACTTTTATAAACGGTGAAATTTCGAATCTCGGTTGAAATTTTAAGTTTTCTGTTATTTTTTCTTTGATTCGGAAACTGCTGAGAAATTCAAAATACAACTCACCGAAAATAACAATTAGAACCCATTTTTTATCTTTTATTTTTTATTTGGTGATTCTCAGAGCATTCCTTTTTTTGGTAGAAAAACGTGGACGAAGAAAAAAAATAAAAACAAAGCATGGGAAAACCAATAAATTTCTCATTTCACTCAGAATCTAAAGGTCCAAAATTGAATAATGATTCACCAATTTATTCAGCACAAAAAGAGTTCAAATTATTCAATTTTATTCAATTTTATTCAATTTTCAAACCATGACATCATAAAATTACTTACTTAATCTTCACTATTTTTTGATAAATCTAACGGTAGTCTATGTTATATTAATTGAGTTAAAGATAGCTACCAAAAATATTACTAGAAATTTAATATATTTCCAAATTTTAGAAGTACCAACTTAACTCAAATTACTGTGCCTAAAACACACTAAATCAAGACATTTACTAGCATATTAAAAAAAATTCCAACATATTTCATATTAATGATTTAATGTTAAATTTCATATTAATATTTATAAAAATATCAACAAAACAAAAATAAATCTACAATCAAACTCGTAAGGATATGTACACACCATAAAGATTGAAGCATGAAAACTACATGCATTATACATTATAAAATACTACTATTTACTATTGCTTGAGTTTCGAATAAATAATTGAACATGATTTATTTTAAGATACATTTTTTCCCGGATACTCGTAGCAAGTAGTACATTACCGAGCAGTTTCCAAGATATATCACATTTAAATGAATACGCATAATATTGAAATAAATGAACACAGTATTTTACTAAACATTCTAGTTGGGATGATAATGGGTGTGAACTTTATTACTATTGAATGAGCACAAAAAATAACAAATATATAATTTAAAGTGATTCTATTTATTACGACACCCACGTAAAACTGCAAAACAGATCGTCTAACCGAAGAAATAAAATGCATATTCAGAATTAATATCATAACAAAAAGTAATATTATATTAATTATTATTTTTAAAATAATCATAATCAAAACTAAATTAATCACATAGTGGTTGACCGGTGAATATTTGGCATTGCACGCTTCACAAACGTGAACGTTGAAATACTATTTAATAATTTGTGTGACTCAAATGTATATAGAATTTTTCAACCATAAAATACAAACTGTTGTTTGTAACCTACAACAAAAAACAACAATTATGCTTAAGGATAGATATATATTCATATTAAACTAGTTAGCCGATTCTATACTAGACTATGCACAAAAATATGAAGCCTGGTTCCATAGGCAAGTTGGGCGATTTATATAAACGTATATATTCAATCCTCAAAATATCGGGTAATCAAAATTTAAATCACGTTTTATTTAGCGATAATCAATTGTGATTCGTTTTATGTTTTCATTTATTATGAATTATGCTAAACAGTCGTATTTAAATATTTTTAATAATGACATTACATTTTTTTCAAATGTTTTTTATGCATTTTAGAAATAGAAATAGAAAATATATTGAATTCAGAAATTTAGAAATTTACCTACTGTAGAAAAATATGCAGTATGTATTGGTATATAAAAAACATTAATTTTTA